GGGGGGGGGGGGGGGGGGGGGGGGGGGGGGGGGGGGGAGGGGAATGGAGGGGGTGTGTCCGGGTCCAGCCTGGGGGTCCCAGCCCCCCTGACACCCCTGTCCTGCAGGTCCCAGCCGCTTCCAGCTCCGCTGTTACCTCTTCCGGGCCCTGGATCTGACCCCTGGCATCTCCAAGACCTCTCTAGGTGGGACCCCCACCCCGTGCCCCCCCTCCAGTGGCCCCACGGGGTACTGATGGTGTCACTGTCACCCAGCCGCCGCCGCCCAGGTGTCGATCATGGATCAGAGCCAACGCTCCCGGGTCGTGCGGGGTGTTCTGGACCCACTCTGGGAACAGACGCTGCTGCTCCACCCAGTGCTGCTGTTCGGGAACCCCCAAGGGATTCGGGAGGACCCCCCAGCCGTAGTGGTGGAGGTGTTTGACCAGGCTGGGGAGGTACGGAACACAGTGGGGGAGGGAGGAGGGAGGGAGGGATGAGAGAGAGGTGGAAGGATGGAGGGGTCAGGGATGTAAGGAATTGAGGATGGGAGAAGCAATGTGGAGAGAGAGGGAGGGAAGGACAGCAGAGGGATGGATAAGGGACAGTACATGGATGGAGGGATGGCAGGAGGAATGGAAGGATGCAGGAGGTCAGGGATGGAAGAATTGGGGGTAGACTGAGCAATGTGGGGGGGAGGAGGGAGAAAGGAAGAGAGGAGGGAGGGAAGGAAGAAGGGAAGGATGGGGGCAGACGGATGGATGAGGGATGGGACATGGATGGAAGGATAGTGGGAGGGATGGAAGGATGGGGGGTCAGTGGTGAAAGGATTTGGGGATGGAGGGAGCGGTGTGGATAGGAAGAGAGTAGGGAGGGAGGCATGAAATGATGGGGGCAGAGGGATGGATAAGGAATGGGAAATAGAGGGGTGGGAGGAGGTAGGGAAGGTTGGAGGGGTCAGGGATGGAAGGATTTGGGGATGGAGAGAACGAGAGTGATGTGGAGAGGGAAGGGGGGAGGGAGGGAAGGAAGGATGGGATCAGAAGGATGGATTAAGGGATGGGGCATGGAGGGATGAGGGAGACATGGAAGGATGGGGCAAGGGATGATGAGGGATGGGGGACAGAGAGATGGGAGAAGGCAGGGAGGAGTGAGGGAGGCAGGGAGGGATGGATATAGAGGGATGGATGAGGGGTGGAACACAGATGGAGGGATGGCAGGAGGAATGTAAGGAGGAGGGGTCACCCACGGGTGGGGGAAGCAATGGGAGGACCGAGGGGGTCAGGGATGGAAGGATGAGAGGGGCACCTATGGGTGGAGGCAACACCTTCACCCAATCCCTGCCTCACAGGGCGCCGGTGTTTTTCTGGGGAGGTGTGTGTGCACCCCCGAGGTTTGGCTGGATCCGGGACACCGGGAACCCCCCCCGGCTCCAGCCTCACCCCCTGCGTGGGCCGTGGGGCCCGGCCGGGGACCTGGTGGCTGCCTTTGAGCTGCTGCTCGAGCCCGAGGTGAGCAAGGGGCACTGGGGGGGCACGGAGGTACGCAAGGGTGGGGTCCCATCGTCATTGACCCCTCTCCCCGCAGGACGGGGCCCTGGCAGCGCTCACACCCCCCCCGCTGAGGAAGGACGTGCTTGGCATTCCCCTGGGAATCCGGCCACGGCTCCAGAGGGTGGCACTGGAGGTGGCATATGGGGACACTCGGGGGGGGGGAAACTGGGGGGAATGGACAGGGAGGGGAACATGTGGGAATAGGGATGGGGACAAGGAGGAAGCAGGGAATGGGATGGGGACAAGGGTGAAGCAGGGAGAGGGATGGGCACAGGGATTGGAACAGGAATAAAGACAGGGTGGGCACAGTCTGGGGTGGGACAGGGATAAAGGTGGGATGGGGACGAGGTCTGAGATGGAGACTGTAAGGGGAACAGGGACAGTGCTGAAGGTCCTGGGGATGGCGACATGGACAGGGGTGAAGGGGATGGAGATGAGACAGGGACAAGAACAGGGATGAAGATGAGGACAAGTACAGAGGGATGAAGGCAAGGACAGCTCGGGGCCGGGATGAGAACAGGGACAAGGACAGGGACAGTGCTGGAGGTTCTGGGAATGGGATGGGGACAAGGACAGGGATGCAGACAGGGATGAAGGTGGGATGGAGACAGTATCTGAGATGGAGACTGGGAGGGGGACAGGGACAAGGGACAGTGTTGAAGGTAGTGGGGATGAGATGAAGACAAGGACAGGGTGGGGACAATGGATGGAGAGGGATCAGGGACAGGGACTGCTGAAGGTCCTGGGGATGGGCTGGAGACAAGAACAGGAATGGGACAGGGATAAAAGTGGGGTGGGAATGTGGTGTGAGATGGAGACTGGAGTTGGATGGGGATGGGGACAGAGACAAGCACCTTAACCCTTCCACTGGGCACAGATGCCCTTTGAGGGGCCCCCAGGGCACCCAAGGGTGACACCTCCCAGGTGTCCCCACAGGTGCTGGCCTGGGGGCTGCGGGGGCTGCGCGGGGCTGTGAGGGAACCCAGGCTGGAGCTGCAGTGGGAGGACCAGACCCTGTGGACTCCTGTGATCAAGGATTTCGCCTCCAACCCCAATTTCCCCACCACCACCTTCCTGCTGACCTTGGTGAGTGGGGGGGGGGGCAGGGGATGACCCCCACCCATGGGTGCTGCTGTGGCACCCTGGGGTGTCCCTGTGGCTCGTCCCCAGGCCCTGCCAGAGGAGGAGCAGTTGGTGCCCCCCATCCGGCTGCGGGTGTGGGACAGGGGGAACAGGAAGCTGGAGGTCCTGGTGGGACAAGGCTGTGTGCGGGGACTGGGCCAGTACCGCTGCAGGACCCCTGGCCTAGAGCAACCCCCCTGCCAGGAGCAGCCCCCTGGCCCTGGAGACACTGGGACTGGCTCCTATACAGTCGTGTCCATGCCAGGTACTGCCCATCCCTGCCCCATCCCTGGTACCACCTCTCCCATTCCAAATACCTCCTGTCTCATCCCTGCCCATCACAAGTACCACTTACCCTATCCCAGTTGCCCCCTGTCCCATTTCTCTTCCCCTCTACCCCATCCCTGCCTCGTCCCTGGTACCATCTCTCCCATCCCAAATACCCCTTGCCCCCTCCCTGGTACTCCCTGTCCCATCCCAGGTAACCTCTGCCCCAACCCAAGTATACCCTGCCCCACCCTTGGTACCCCCTCTCCCATGCCTGCTCCATCCCTACCTCATCACTGCCCCATCCCAGGTGCCCCCCTCCCCAGGTCCCATCCCCGCTCCATCCCTACCTCATCACTGCCCCATCCCAGGTGCCCCCTGCCCAGGTCCCATCCCCGCACCATTCCTGCCCTGTTCCTGCCCCATCCCTGCCCATCTCTCTCTCCCACAGACGAACCCCTTTCCCTGCTGGCCGTTTTCAGCCTCTGGAAAGGTTTATGTTCCCACTTCCTCACCAGAGCCTGGGCCAGGATCGCCCAGGTGAGTCCCTGGGATGGCACCCCCCCACCCTGGCACGGCTGGGCCCCGTGCCTCAGTTTCCCCATGTGCCCTTTGCTCCTGCAGATCCTGCTCAGCTGCCTTGGGAAGAAGGAGGATGGCGACAAGGTGGGCACAGGAATGGGGCTACCCGGGGGCCACCAAGGCCACCAGTGCCACCCGTGCCACCCATCCCACCTTCCCCTGTTCCCTTAGGACACGG